ACTACAGCATGAATAGAAGGAGGTGAGAATCTCTGGAGGCCATCCTGGAGGTCTAGCACACAAACGGCCATCTGGTTTGCATCTTCCATCCAAGTGAATGTCAAGAGATCAAGAGAATATAACTGTAATCATTCTCCCCTTATCTGTTAAGTGGCTACAAAAATATTACAGTACAATGGAATGATGCAGGACATGGTACCAGCAGCACGGATAAGCAGCCAAGGGAAGCCAAAGGATGATTTTCACTGACTTAGTGAATCAGAAATAACATCTGAGTTGGATACTGAACAGTAGGAAGAGGTACTTAGAATTCTGACTGAAATGAATCAAGATTTCTTCAATAAATATGACAGAATAACACTCTAAAACAGCCCTTGGCAGCCCAGGTTCTATGAGAAAATTAAGTCCTAATGCTCTAAGGCAGCAAATATATATGTACTGAATTAATTTCTCTCCCATGCATCTAGAAGGCATAGCATGCCCCATCCTTGAGAGAATTAAGAAAACAGTTACTGAAATGATTTTCCGTGGGATTGAATTCTTTCACAAAACCCTAGCTGAGAAAGACTACCAGATGAGTTGAAAAGATAGCTCACAGACATAAATAAAGCCATGTTTCAAATATTCCTACACTCAGTTCCAAAAACAAATGGGAGAAAAGTAACTACGTGCAAGAAGGTACTGCACAGCCATACCAGAGAAGCTAGAAGGAGAGGGGATAGTTAACCAAAAGGGCGACAGAGGCCTGGCCACACCCAGCCCTCCCGAGCCCAGCGCAGAGCTACCTCAGAGGCAGTTACTGGGAGGATGAAGTCAGCCATCGCTCCAATAGCCCAAAGAAAGAATCGTCAAGGGAGGAAGGGAGAAAGCAATTAGGGAAGATGGGAGCCCTCTGATTTGTACCCTCCACCTAAGGACTGTTAAGAGATCAAGAGCACAGAATTCTAATTAATTCCCCCCACCCTTGTTTTAAGTTAGGATTTACAGGTTCGCTGTGATTTGAAGCTTTAGTGTGTATGTGCGTGTGAGTGCATGCGCGCACAAACACACGCACCTTCCCACAAACACTGGTGTGTATGAGCCACCAGGATTCACGACAGGGATGGGAACGCCTTATCCCACATCACCAGTGCGGCTACTCCACACAGGAGAGGCTTGTTCGTGCCCACACGGTACAGTGCACAGGGAGCTGAAACCTGTATGCTCTTGATACAAGGCAGCTTGCGTAATCATGGGGGGAAAACCCTCAGAGCCAAAACCACAAAGCAAACTTCTGTTCTGCAAGACTGCTATTATTCATCCTCTGAAAGACCAAATAATAAGAAAATGTATGAAGCCACACCTTGAAAGTCATGACAGCGTGGCATGCCATAGCTTGATGAGAGCATTACGAAAGAGATCCTGAACCACGTGTGCTAATCTACACCACCCCACCTCAGGGCTGAGTACCTTCTGTAGTCCTCTAGCAGCGACCTCCTACAATCCCACTTTCCCTAATAAAACCTTAACAAAAACCTCATATCCATACACTTAAAATAAACACACATCCATTCCTAAGCTTGCCTCTTGCTATCTATGTGTTTTAATGTATTTATCCCTACTACTCTTCCCACTTAAGTCCAGAGAGATCACAATTTTCCCAGAATCTAACCACAAACCTCATGAAGCAGCAATAAGAAGCCCTATTTACTGCTGACACTAACCAGCTTTGAAGAGAAATTCATGGAAGGCCATGATTTTAAATAGGAACCTTTGTGGAAGAGTCACAATACGTCTTAACAGTACATGCATATTCCGTATTAGTATGAGCAGAGAGCCCAAAAAGCACCACCAAAACTCACTTGCCTGTTTATAACCAGAAAAAAAGGGGCTGGGGGGCATTAACAGAAGTCTCTGAGGTGGTTATTAAAAACCATGCTCATCTCCTACCATTCATGTGGAGAGGAATCCCAGACTGCTGACAACACATACTGGAGCCCAGTACATACCCAGAGCATCATTTCTTGCGATCTTAATTTCAAGTATCGCTTCACACTATATGTAGGAATTTGGTTGTTTTTAGCTTTAAACAAAAGCAGCACCTCACTCTAAAACTATTTCAAAGTTATCCAGATACTGAAGTTGTAGCAAGGAAAGAGTGACACATCCATGTCCTACTATAAGTCTGTGACTGAGCCAAGCCCGTGTTCTTCCTCTGTGCCACACTGACCCTCAGGGCTAAAATACAGACACTTTAATACAAAAAATCCCACACAGTACCTGTGAACCCATCAATTATAAAAGTCATTAATACCAAGTACTGGCCTTATTTCCGATGGCTGGGCTTAGTTTATGCCAATGTCACCTCCTCCAAAACAAATTAGTATTTAAGGAGCAAAAAAGCCACACAGACCATATTACAGTCTGGGAAAATGACTCTTGAGGCTTCTCCAAAAACTAACACTTCTTCCAAAACTGGCAATTTTTAAAGCAACTTATTCTACCTTAATTCCTGTACAACTGGTAAAAGAACAAAATACTAATGCAAGTGAAAATCAAATCATAAAAACCAGTTGGCTTAGGAACTGCATATAGGTCTCCCTTAAATGATATAAATGAAACTCAAAGCTTCCCGTGGTTTGTAAAAGCAAAGATGCATGCACACAACCTTATGTGGATGTGGAACTTCAAGACTATGTGAACTCAGAGGAAGATTAACTGTTCAAAAGTTTGTGCTTAATTGGCTTGTCCCATTTCTTGGAAGCTAAATAAGCAAATAAATCAGTCAGTCTTAAATAGATCTCTCACTCTATAAAAGGGAGAATAAAAACTCAAACTCCAAAATACATCATGGTGCTCCGGTGCCTGATCTTGGCTGACCAGTTAAGACAGCCTCTCGAGAGATGGGCACCACAGACCCACCACACACAGCTGACGTTGAATTCAAACTCCCGATCTACATCAGGTAAGCAGTGGTAATACTGTAATGCATTATTTGCCACTAAACAGTAATTTTCTCCACAAAAATAAAGCTGAGTAGAAAATTAAAATTTCGACTGAAGAAAAGAGTCTCCTTTAAAATGTAATCAGGGCGCCTGGGTGGCTCAGTGGGTTAAGCTGCTGCCTTCGGCTCGGGTCATGATCTCAGGGTCCTGGGATTGAGTCCCGCATCGGGCTCTCTACTCAGCGGGAAGCCTGCTTCCCTCTCTCTCTCTCTCTCTCTCTCTGCCTGCCTCTCCGTCTACTTGTGATCTCTCTCTGTCAAATAAATAAATAAAATCTTTAAAAAAAAAAAAAATGTAATCAACAGGGCACCTGGTAGCTCAGTGGGTTAAAGCCTCTGCCTTGGGCTCAGGTCATGATCCCCAGGTCATGGGATCGAGTCCCACATCGGGCTCTCTGCTTGGCAGGGAGCCTGCTTCCTCCTCTCTCTCTGCCTGCCTCTCTGCCTACTTGTGATCTGTCAAATAACTAAATAAAATCTTAAAAATAAAAAAATAAAATAAAATAAAATGTATCAACAACTCTGTCAGTAAGAAGGTACGTGTGGAAACACTAATCCAATCTGTTCCCTAAAGGCATCCATCTACTATTTCTGTAGTGAGACGGTCCTATTGTATAATATCACATCATTCTGGCCACTAAAGTAAAAATCAGATGTTAAAATAAGTCAGTGATGAGCATCTGAAAGAAAGTAAAGTATAGAGGAATTGGAAGTTTTCCTAGTGAGAATTTTCCCTAGGAAAAAACATCAAAATAGAATGGGAAACAATATTTTGACAGAAATTCACTTTACTGTAACCATTTTCCGAATCACCCAGGCCGTTATGATGAGTACCCCTAATATACATGGCTCAGACTCATGGAGACCCAAGGTTCTCAGCAGAGTGGAAACAGCTGTAATGTGACCCAACACCTGCATCCTCACCAGTCCTGAGCCCTTATAGTTAGAACTCAGGAGTCACACCAAGCTTATTTTCCTCCTAGAAGCCAACCAGAAAATAACTCTTTGCAGGCTCGCTTGCTCTCTCCACAGCCACCCTCCCAACCCCCCACTTACCTGCAGTCCTGGGATTTCCTGTTAAAGCAAGTACCGAGTGTCATCTACAATATTCAAGAACAATCAGAAATTCACAAATCTCCTATCTTTCCCCCATATTGGAGAGGGCTCCCTGGAGGGATTAAAGTTAGGAGACTGGGAAGCCCAGTAAGGCTGAAGGTCACACATAACAACTTTCAGTAAAGATCCTTTATTTCTACCACTTACTTGCACTGCTTAGATTCTATGCTGAAACTCAGTCTTGTCCAGACTTAAAACCTCCATTGCTTGGAACATTTTCTTAAGGTCTCATCCCATTTAGCATTCAAAATACCAAGAAGTCTCCATCCTCATGACCTCACAGGAGGAGGAGGAGAAGGAAAAGAAAGGAGGAGAAGAAGAGGAGGAAGATTAATTTAAAATTTTCTGCTCAGGGGCATCTGGGTGGCTCAGTGAGTTGAGCATCAGACTCTTGATTTTGACTCGGGTTATGATCTCAGGGTTGTAAGATCAATTCCCACAACAGGCTCTGCGCTGGGCGTGGAGTCTGCTTGAGATTTTCTCTCTCTCCCCCTTCTTCTGCTCTTCCCCCTGCTAGCACACGTGCTCTCTCTCAAATAAAATCTTTTTTAAAAATTTCTGCTTCTTTTAAAAATTGCACTTTTTGAAAAAAAAAATGGATGATTACTAATCAAATCATAAAATGCCTGTGCCTGCCCATGCTCACAGTATCGTTATGATAATCTCTTCATCCAGTGAAGGCACACCCAAAACAGAGTTCATCATTTTGTTTGAGGATTCTGTTAGAAAAAAACTGATGTGGTTAGTGAAGTGTGTGGAGTAAGCCTCAGTTATATCAGTCTAATGGTCTCCACAATCACACAATTCTTAGGGAACTATCAATCCTCTAAGTCACTCTATTATGAAATAAATCAAGATTACCGAAGGGTGCCTAAGAGAGTAGAAAAATCAGATTACTTACCTTGTGCAAAGGGAGCACAAGGAACGCTCCTCCCCCACTCGCTTCTATGATAATGGCAACAAATCTGGGATTGACAGCGCAAAAGGAACTATCCCAGGTCACTCGAGAAACCCGGATGTCATCATAACACTGGTCGTTTTTTACCGCTTGTCCAAACACATGACGAAACTTGCTCTGTCGTACCACTCGCCTCATTGTGTCTGTGGAAGAGCAAAAAGTACATTAAAATCCAAACAGGGGAAAAAGATCAGAATATGGCATTTTGTCTGCTCTCCTAAAAAGTAGCCAAATGGCAAACCCAAATTTCCTTGAGCAGCACATACTCAGAGAAAACAAAATGCGTCAGGGAAAGAATTACAAAGAAATGAAAAATTCCTAACTCAAGATCCAGAAACAGCTCATCAGTTCTAATTTCAGGAGAAAGATCAAGGCAAAGAATGAAGGAAAATTAGCCTTTCAGAGTTGGGTGGGAATTGGAAGATAATTCACTCCAAACTTTTCCTTTCATTGCTAAGAAAACTCCAAAGAGAAGTCATCTGGTGAATCTGAAGCTAACGCAAATCCCCCCAAAAGTTATGATACTGTGGCTTCTTCCTCAGTCTGCCAAGGTGATTTTTCAGTTTTTAAGCATTTTCCCCAGACATCGGCTCTCTCACTGAGGACTGTGCCTTAAGACCAGCTATGTGTAGTGGCAAATTCAAGAAACATAAGCAACCATCCTTGTCTTCAAAAGCCTTCCAACATAGGAAGAGTATCAGAGCACCTTAAAACAGGACTTCTGGTCCTAAGTGCTAACAGTTTTACCAAGGCATCAGAGAGGTCAAAAGCCAGATCCTAGGAAAGAACAGCAAAGGTTTAAACAGAAAGCAATGTGATAAAAGTGCTATTCAGAATGACAAAAGGTCTAACAGTAGCACAGGACATATTAGATGTGAAGAAGCTATAAGAAAGGTGCTGGCTGAACTGTGGCAGTAAACCAGCCTGAGAAAGTTCCAGAATGATTATTATAGCAGTAGTAGTCAGAGGAAAGGAAAAACTCAGGGAGGGCAAATGGACAGGTTTCATGTCAGAGCTGATCATTCACCACAGCCATTTCCCAAGTAACCAGGGGACTTGGGAAAGGGTAAGTGACACCAAGCTAGTGTTCCTGGGCTTCCTCATGGGTCACTTCAGACTCCACATTCCACTAGGTATCCCAGAGACATGTGCACTGAAAGCTTCGTGCGTTGGGATCGCAAGGCCTCACCTGGTCCAGGTTCCCTAGACGGCAGCCAATATAATTTTCCTGTCTGCTAATATGCAGGACATTCTGTTCATATTGGCTAGGATATAAGGGGCCTGGAGAAAACATGAGAGGAAATGGAACACTGTCAAACCTGACAACTCAGCTGAAAACCAGCGCCCCCCCCCACCCCGCCGATCACCATGCAGAGGAAGGTTAACACCTGTCTACTCATGCCAAATGGGACACATGGTGGGCTGCTGCTAATTCCTTCCCTCTGATTCTCTTCCTCATGGCTCTGGGCCCACTGCTAAATGCAGAGAGAGATCATTTATACTTGCCAGAGCCTCCTTCTACCCTTCCAAGGCATGTGCAAAAGTGGCCTCTTTCCAAGCCTGGGGCATGTGGCTGGGCTGAGGCAACAAACGCTTGGCAGGCAGCTGAGCACCCGTGTTCCTCAGCCCAGCTGTTGCCAGAACTTTCCAGCTGACTACCAGGACCATACATTTAGAGCATTTGGTAGAGGAGATGGCAAGGGATTCGCTTCCACTTGGCCAGAGTCTGTCATTTGTGAAACAGTATGAGTATTTCTTAAGTTATGAATAGGTAAGACAGCTTCCACGAGCTGGTGAAAACCAAAAGAAAATCACATCCATACAGAAGTCAATGTATAGCCAGATGGTCTCCGGATCTATTTCCCTATATAACCATCTGCACAAGTTAGCAAAAGCTAAACTCCCCACCAGTACCTTCCAGCAAGTGTTTCAAAAGTAAGTTAATAAAGAAGAAAGGAAGGGTTGTACCATATTTCAAAGAGTTATTATTGTTCATGTATGAAGTGTTTACAGATCCAAAACATAAAAATCCCAGTAGAAAGTTATACAAAGGACATGAAGAGGTAATTTACAAAAGAAATATATTTATCTCCACCCCTTCCTGAAATCCTAATAAAATGCCAGTAAAGGAAGGAAAGTAGGTAACACCAAGGACAGGAGAAAGAACACTGGAAAAAGCCTACCAAAGAGCAAATGTGGGGGTGACTCACTGAAGAGTAAATGTGACAAGAAAATCTGGGAAGACAAAAAGCGATCACGCACATGTAACTGACTGAAGTGTGAAGGTTCTCCACTCAGCTGAGGGCCTCAGAAGGAGAGGCTCACAAAAGGATGCCTGCAGAATCCCACAGTGAAACCCCAGAGCACTCAGAAGAAAAGCTGTGTTATCTCTGAAGACAGGGATGTGGAGAACAGGCTGCAGAGAAAATTGAGTGAAAGCCTAAATTAAGAGCAGCTAGATACTCAGATACCCTCCTCCAGTGCTGCACAGTGAGGGGACTGCCCCACGCCAGCCTCAGCAGAAGCCAGGCTGCAGGCCCTGGGTAAAACATCAGCAAGCACAGGTGAGCACAGGGATGAGCAAGCACCTCCTACCACCTGGGTCTGTACAGCCGGGTCCCAGCCTTTGTTCTTGGGCTCCCAGAACACCAGCTGCCAAGTCTGGGTACTACCCACCCCACTGTGCAGATGAGACCTCACCTCCCTCTGTGAGCTCCACCACTCAATCAGCCCCTCCACCCGCACAAGGTATCAGGTCAGCTTTTTGTGCCACCTTGGAAATATGAATGGACATCTTGAGGAGGGCCTTTAACTTAAAAAAGAGAGACAACTTTCCCTCTTCACTCAAATAGGCTAGATACCATCTAATCTCACCAACAATATGAATATAAATATATAAAGTGCTTCGAATGTCCTCAGTGAAAGACATTATGCAAATCTGCTGGCTGACATCCAAACTAAAATACCTTTAGAAGTCATTTCTGTATTACGCATGGTGACAACTTACTTTCATCCAAACCACAAGGAGTCAGAATGATACACAGGTTCTTTTGCTCCAACCATGGAGAAGAGTGGTAGCTACGCAGCAGAGTCAGTGAGAAAAGGCAGTACTTCCAGAGCTCTATGCTGACGGAAGCCACGTCTGTCCAAGTGGAACTTGAGGGACAGTATGAGCCCATTTACAATCAAGATCGAACCTGACCTGGGGTCAGCTGTCCACACGTGGCACAGCTGCTTTTGCTGAATACTACAGGGAAAAGCAATTTAGAGGGCAGGCTCCAGAGTCAGACAGCCCTCTGAGTGAGAGGCACAGGTCTATCACATTTACTTCCTGGCCAAGGTTCAACAGGGCAAGTCAGTGTCAGATTCTTTATCTAAAAATGGGTACAACACATATGAAGTTGAAGTTATTATTAAATGAGCACTTGGTATGAGGATTGTAGCAGGAGATTAATACGTCAGAGCACCTTGTATGGTTAGAGACACATAACTACGCGGTAAATGTCAGCTATTGTTACTATCCTAGAACTTGATATAAAGTCATTCAGATTAAGATCCTAGTTTTGCCACTTATTAGCTAATTATTTAATCTTTCTGAGCTTCAGTTTCCTCTTCTATAAAATGAAGGGATTGATACCTATAATAATTAAAAGCATCATCTGACAAAGCCTAGGTCCAGATGGTTTCATCACTGAAGCCTATCAAATATTTACAGAATTAACACCAATTCTTCACAAATTCTTCCAAAGAACAGAACACCTCCAAACTAATTTTGTGAGGGCAGTATTACTCTAATACCAAAATTAACGAAAGATATCACAAGAAAACTACATCAATGTCTCATGAATAAGGGCACCTGGGTGGCTCAGTGGGTTAAGCCTCTGCCTTCAGCTCAGATCATGATTCCAGGGTCCTGGGACTGAGGCCCGCATCAGGCTCTCTGCTCGACAGGGAGCCTGCTTTCCCCTCTCTGTCTGCCTGTCTCTATGCCCACGTGTGATCTCTCTGTCAAATAAATGAATAAAATCCTTAAAAAAAAAAAAAAGTCTCATGAATACAGATGCAAAAACCCTCAGCAAAATACTAGCAGACCAAATCTAGCAACCTATAAAAAGGATTATATACCATGACCAAGTGGGACTTGCCCTAGAAATGCAAGGTAGGGTCAACATCTGAAAATCATATAATGTAACATATCAATCAAATAAAAACAAACATTGTACAATCATCTCACACAGAAAAGCATTGGACAAAATCCAACACTTTCCTGATAGAAACACTCAACAAAGTAGGAATATAAGGAAATTTCCTCAAACTTATGAAAACAAAAAACAAAACAAAACCCAGAGGTAACACAGTATTCAATGATGAAAGATGCCTTCTCTCCAAGATCGAAAACCAGACAAGGAAGTCTACTTTTGCCATTTCTATGCAGTGATGTGCTAAAGGTTCTAGCCAGGATAATAAGAAAAGAAAAAGAAATAAAGGCATTCAGATTGAAAAGGAAGAAATGAAACTATCTCTGAACAAAGATGACATGATCTTACATATAGAAAATCCTAAGAAATCTACTAAAAAACTATTTAAGTAAGTTCAGCAAGGTTGCAGGATAAGAGATCAATATATAAGAATCAATTGTATTTTTATACACTCTTAGCAATCTGAAAATGAAATTAAGGAAACAATTCCATTCACAACCGTATCAGAAAGAATAAAATACTTAGGAAGTAGGTGAAAAACTACAAGACACTGCTCAAAGAAATTAAGAAGACCTCAATTAAATGGAAAGACATCCAGTGTTGATGGATCAGAAGACTTAACATTAACATAACAATACTCCCAGGAAGCCTGGCTGGCTCAGTTGATAGAGCAAAGAACACCTAATCTCAGGATTATGAGTTCAAGCCCCCACAGTAGGCATGGAGCCTACTAAAAGGAAAAAAAAAAAAAAGTAACACTCCCCCAACTGATCAACAGATTTAATGCAATCCCTATCAAAATCTCAGCTGACGGGGTGCCTGGGTGGCTTAGTGGGTTAAAGCCTCTGCTTTTGGCTCAGGTTGTGATCCCAGGGTCCTGGGATGGAGCCCCCACATCTCGGGCTCTCTGCTCAGCGGGGAACCTGCTTCCCTTTCTCTCTGCC